GGGTGGATGAAGACCACAAGTTAAAATCTTCCTTCCCCTTGACTGTGCTGGCTATAGGGCAATGAAGAGACTTCTCACCAAGCTTTTGGTCTCTGCATTAGCTGTGTATTCCTGTGGCCAGCCTTGTGGGAGACAATGCTGAACATGTTTCTGTTAGTCTCCCATGCCCTGGAGCCCATGGCTGTGGTGGGGGTGGAGAACTCTTCAGGGTGATAAGCAGCAGGCATCCAAAACCCCTTTCCATTAGAGGTCAGCTCTCCAAGCAGGAGCTGGACCCATATATACTCACCTCAGGAGCTGTATCACAACCATAGTCTTGGTAAAATAACCCCACAACCTTTCCTGCTTTAGCTTTGGCACCTTTATGCTGGGTTTTCTCCAAGTATAAAAATGTTTCAGTATCTGTCCCTCTGCCAGAGTCCCAGCTTCTCATTAGTGGTGAATTAGCTCTGGGTTTGTAAAGTTCTGTTTGAAAGTGTTCTTCTATGTGGATGGGTCTGGGTGCAAATTTAGGTTTACTGAGAATAATACTGAGAGTAAGAAAGAAAATAAAGATAAATGTTGAATCCGATTTTTTTTTCCCCATGCTTGATGGGCAGCTACCTTCAGCTTGAGTATATAACCCAATTCAGCACCCTTGGAATGGGTCTAAAACTCAGTTTGAGAACAAGGAGAGAAAAATGATGCTGCAGACTTGGGGCAGGGGTGAGAAGAGCTGGGCTGGCAGACAGCCCAGGCCTGGCCATTGCCCCCAAACCTGTGAACAGAGCAATAAGGGGATTCACATCTAGCCTTTTGAGTTTTGGAGGCTCAGAACACCTTCCTGCCGGCTGGGAGGTGCCTGGTGGGCCCTGGCCCTTGAAGAGGGGACTGCCCCGTGTGCGTGCCGGGGCTGCCGGGCCGGGCAGCGTGCAGCTCGTCTGCAGGCAGCTTTTGCCAGCAGAGCTGTTCTGAGGCGCTGCTCCTCGGCTTGCCAGCCACTCAGCTGCTCACGGGCGCAGGAAGGAGTGCGTGTGATCAGCGTATTTGCAAACAAACTCATTTGATCTTCTCTGGAGACCAGAGGGAGCTCTAACATATCTCTAATGCTACTGATTTTTTTTTTTTTTTTTTTTAAAATACTAGAGGAAACAGTTCAGTATTGAGCAATTCCAGGCATTAAACTATATGTTATTTAATCTTCAGTGAATTCTGCACTATATAAAGGTAATTTTAGTGAAATCATTACTTTGTAATTAAGACCTTTAAAGCGTATCACATGGTTTGATCCCCTCTGCTTGAAATAGCTTCTGTAAAATTCATAGGTTGAAGTTTTTGGTGCATTATGTTATATAAACTTGATGTTATACAAAGCTCTTATGTAAAACCTATGAATATGTTTTTGGTAGATCAGTATAAACTTCAAACACAGCAGGCAGGGAGTCTCATTGCTGCATGTATAAATTTGGTTTGTGAATTTGGAGGGTGAACAGGGGTGGTGCTTTCTTTGATATCCTTCATACCTCCTTTAATTGCCACCAGCAAGCTCCCTGTTGCCACTACTGGTGTTGCTGTCCCTGCAGATCTGTGAGCTCCACAGGAGTCCTATTTCTGCACAAATTACCTATGAAGCTGCTACTTCATATTACAACAGCAACACCCAAGGGCCTGCAGACCTGCCTGCTGGCTTGTGCAGCATTGCCACAAAGGTTTATTTATTTTTTAAGTCTATTTTTAAATCCTGATTATGGGAATTTCATATTTTGTTGCAAATATTATTTTAGGGTATCAGCACTTTGTAACGAATAAGAATAATCTGCGGAAAATTAGTTGAATTATAATTGCTTGATAAATGGGCAGGAAGGAGTAAATAATTAAGGAAACTGTAACACTGGCAGACTGCCTTAAGATTTGAGCAACAGCTTTCCTGACAAACATTGAGTTCAGATTGCTTTTCCACTCCAATCTTTTCTTTGTCATGTTACTGAAAGTTACTTGTCCAGCTCGTGTACACAGGGCTGCTGTGGTCTCATTCTTGATCACCCTTTTGACCTGTGGTCTATTAAAAATCAGGTAGCTTGCAAAGCAAATGATCTAATAGCAAGTAACATATTAGAAAAAGCAGATGTATGTTTGGTCTGGCTGGGACAGAGTTAATTTCCCCCACAGCAGCACTCGTAGTGCTGTGCTTCGTGATGGTAGCTGGAAAGATGCTGATAACACACCAGCATTTTGGCTACTGCTGAGCAGGGCTCCCACAGCATCAAGGCTGTCTTTTCAACACGCTCCCTCACCATGAGAGTGGTGAGACCCTGGAATGGGTTGCCCAGGGAGGGGGTTGAGGCCCCATCCCTGGGGTCTTTAAGGCCAGGCTGGATGAGGCTCTAGACAGCCTGATCTAGTGGGAGGTGTCCCTGCTCATGGCAGAGGGGTTGGAACTGGGTGATCCTTGTGGTCCCTTCCAACCCTGACAGACTCTGATCTGTTTTAGCAGAGGACTTAGTAATGTTGGCTTAATGGTTGGACTTGATGATCTTAAAGGTCTCTTCCAACCTAAAGGATTCTATGATTCTATGCTATGTGTAGTGAAGCCCTGCTTCCCAAGAACTGGCTGGACTTCATCTCTCGTAGAGATCAGCAAGCATCTACTTGCTGATGGCAAAGAGAGAAAAAATCTTTTGCTATCCTCTGCTTCTGCACACAGCCTTTGCTTTTGCTTTATTAAGCTGCCTTTATCTTGACTCACGAGGTTGTTTTCCGTTTTATTTTTTCCCCACTCTGTCCTGCTCAGGAGGGGAGTGATAGAGCAGCTTGGTGGGCACTTGGTGGCCAGCCAAGGTCAACCCATCACAACAGATAAGGAAAGAGAAAAGCAATATCAGAGGGGAAAGCAAGGTGTAAGGAATCAGACCAGGACACCTGGCCACAACACTGAGGAAGGTGCTAGAGTAAAGGACTGAATGATTGCTTTGGGAGCACCTGGGGGACAACAGAGCAGCAAGAAACAGTCAGGAGGGCTCTGGCAGCCTGACTTGGCAGGGGAAAACTACCTCAGACCAACCAAAGTCCTTATCTTCACTGGCTAAGTGGCCAAGAGAGAAGCTGTGGTGGTGCCATATCATGAGCTTGATAAGGTTTTCAGCAGAAATTTGAAGTGCCCTCATAACTGAAAGGCCTTGAGATAAGTCCAGAAAGCATTGGTTATCAGCAGCTTGCGGGCACCTGGTCAGGCGTTTCAAGCTGAGCTGCACAAGTCTGTCCTACACCGGTTTCTCTCAGTTTTGTGGTTGTAAAATGAGTGGCAGACAAGAGCTATCAAATTATGGGTGATGGCTATGCTGAGAGGGAACACAAGCACTTTCATTAATGGTTAAAAATGACGAAAATCTGTTAGGAATCAAAGTACCGAAATAAAGCAAACAGAGGTGCAGAACACCTGAGGAGCTCAAGCAGGGGCATAGAGCTAGGGTGGAGTGGCTGGGTGCCCATCCTGCAGAAAGTGCTGGGGGTCCAGTGGGAACCAAATGAGTTCATGCTAGGGGAGGGGAAGAGAAGAAAAAAAAAAAGAGAGAAAGTCCCATTTGGGGATTTATCTTTATCATAGCACTGTGTATGAAGTGCTTGGGGTAATTCTCCTCTCAGCTGCAAGCATCAGTGAAGCTTGGCTACGGTTTGTCTGTCACACCAACAAATACAAGCTCAAGAGGATCACAACTCAAATGGAAAGTACAGCCAACAGGAAACAAGGAATTAGATTTTCTTTTTTTCCAGTAAAGAGAAAGAGGACACAGCGACGATTTTCCAATATGCAAAAGAAATGAGGGCAATGACCCATGTCATTCCCTTCCCCTTGAGGGTAAGGCGAGTAGCACTGAGTTTGGCACCAAGTTTGTGTTGGGTTCTTAAAAGAAAACTTTTTGGGTAATGAAGCAATACAACATTCAATGAGCATTTTAAAGAGGAAATGACCAACATGTAAAAACAGCTGTATGCAGGGAAATGCAATGGGTGTTGCTTAAGGGCCTTTCCAGGCTAACATCATTTCATCAGAATCAGCAGTTAGCAAATTGAAGTTAGCAAATTGAAGAGACAACAAATTACAGACAGGGAAGAAAAATCTTCTCTGCTAGAGTCCTATGCTTTGGTTTTACAACCAGTATCAGTATTGGGAAATGTATTTACATATGCTTCTTACAATTAACAGTAAATGTGAGGTGACAAGCTTTCTCTCTCATCAACCTGTTAATCTGTGGGTGCCATGGGCTGATCCCTCCATGGGCCAGGCCCATCTGTCTAGAGTCTGGAGCTGCAATGACTGGCTCACATAGACACCAGGCAGAGGGAGCAATTAACCTGTTTCATCAGTAACTGAAGCAATAGGAAACCACTGCCAAGACCAAGCCCCCACGGGCCAGAGCCATCAACCACATGGGTGAGCAGATTGCTCTGATGACTGACTCTGAACACTAGAGTTTGACCCTTTTGAGCCACACATTCATCTCTCTCTCTTCGAGAGATGCAAAAGACAAAGGGAAATGCCACCACAGCAATGCAACGCTGAGTAACTTGAGTTTGTTCTCCTTTGTTACTGAAAAATGAGCTGGGATTTCCTAGCCAGCAGC